GGCCCCTGTGCCCCCTTGGACCTTGTTCACATCCACGTTGAGGTCCAAGTTCACGTCGCTGTCACATTAATGCCCGCATTTAAAGTCCTTACAACGCTCGTGTATTTGGGCAGCTCGAGTAATTTAATGAAGCCACTTAAATCTGTGCGCCGTCGTCGACATCGTCGTCATCATCAGGAAGGGCGAAAAGAAAGAAAACATTTAATGTGGCGTATAAAAAACTTCTGCATATTTAAGATGACTTGGAGGGGGTTTTCTGCGAGTGTATGTGGGCATGCGCTTAAGCGGTGTAGTAACTGTAACTGCTGATGAAGCAGCCATGCTCACAGCGCACTCTGTCTGCAACGTTAGCAGTTTACCACTGCCTTCTGGCCAGTGATGAAAAATCTCCAACTTTTTCCGCCCCACAATATTTTTTTCAATGTAATGTTTTTAGCGATAAAATCAAGTCAGTTTTATCTTAGTACAATTCGTCAATTCAAAATTATGGTTAAATATTTTCAAAATTGAATCAGATAGCACTACCATTATTAGGATAAGCCCAAGGGGTTACAAAAATAATTTATTCAACTCCCAAGAGTCCGAAAAAGTCATTGGAATTATGAGTCATGATAATGAACTTTAAGTTACATTAGCCTTCAACTATAAAATAATTTTACTGTCTCCCACAGATTCACACAGAGAATTATCTACTTTCGCGGTCCCGCAACTTCTTCAGTTAATGATTTTTAGGATTGGTTCTATGGAACTAAACGTTGATTGTTCGTTCGGTCATTTTTATATGTAAAAAGTTAAGATAACAAATGTTGACCTCATACAGGGCTAACGTCTCCAACTCGCAGACATATTTTCAAACCCCTTTTTTTAATTTTTAAGAAAATATTTACATCTTCCTAAACCCATCAAATTCTAATATATATTTGGCTTTAAAAAGACTAAACTGCTATATCTCTTCTGAGGCTGGCCCTTTTGTGGGCTCCAAGTGCCTCTCTGTGGGTTTTGCCATGGCCGCCAACGGCTGCCATTGCAAGTAACTGGCCAAGTATCCGACAAGGGGACAGAGTTATGAGGGCCAGAGATTCTCGGGCCCTTGCACCGAAAGTTCTTGACAGGGGACCAACCGTCCGGGAGTTATTTCTGAGGTATGGTAACTATTAGGAACTTAAGATATCTGGGAGATTTGAAGCCCGTAAAATGCTGCTCATGAGCTGAGTCCTTCTAGCCGGCAGCTTAACAACTTTTCTCGGCGAGTAATGATCTCTGAAAATTAAAACTTTGCCTTACAAACCCTCAACTTATGTTCGTGAATATTTATGCCGAATTAGGTTTGCCCAAGTGATTAGCTATTTAAATAAATTTTGGCCTTAGATCGCGATAAGCAGAAAGTTAATTCAGACTCTCGCACTTCCCCTTGAAAAAGTTTTCTACCCTGCGAGCACTTTCTTTATCTGGCTATTTGCCCTTATTATTTAACTTGCTTTCTAGCGCTTAGTTCTTTTGAGTTATTTCCAGAGTGAGCTCGGGCATCTACACACGGCCAACTTTGTCGTTTACTTAGTTGGCGCCAGAGTTTTTGCCGATTGCTACAATTTTCTTGTTGTTCGCACAGCGAGTAGGTTAAGTTTGATATCTTTAAGTTACAGGGCTTCTCGAAGGTGGCATTAATAACAGGCAAAACAAGCTGGCTACCACAGCCATTTAAATTGATTTAAGTGCCCGACTAGAAATTGAATATGCAAACCAATATCGTAACTTTTTCTTTCCGTACAAATGAATTTCATTGCCGTAATTTAACATGACTGAAATGGATTCTAGTTGCATGTGGCCGTATGCCATTCGGCTTTCTTCCTTGCCCCAGTTGTAATTTATGTCCGTAGAAAGGTCTGCGAGTTTATTTGCTGACCACCATTGGCAACGGCACAAAGCGGCTAAAGTGGTCCATATACTGCTTTTTGCCCCAGGACAAATTGAAAAAAGACATTGTCAGGGAAATAGTTGCATAACGTTCTTATTGTACAAAAAAGCTTACAAAGGGCGGTGTGGATTGATTGGATGCCTACACAGGTTGCAGGTTGTGTAAGTTCGAACAAAAGTCTGTGCGTTGCTGTTGCACTCCCCATGCTGTCCAATTATTCTGAAAATTGAAATCCCAGCAGCAACATCTGCTAATCCTTTTAGAGCTCAGGCATGAAACCATTGACTTTCAAAACGTAAGGTTCAAACCGGAAATTGTAGGTTGTCACTAGCAGGGAGCAATGCCCAGCGAAGACAGCTAAAATAAGATGGAACATTTTTCGTAATTAAAGAAATAACTTTTACTGCAAAACTCGCGAAATCTGGATGTCTTTTTTCCGTTTCCCATAGGCAAATAAAAAGGCCGAGGACAGAACGTGCTGAAATTAGTTTAAATTGGCACGAGAAAAATAAGGGCTATTAGTGGAAAAGGGAAAGACAGCGAAAGGAGAAAACGGAATCAAAGCATTATGCATGTAAATTGGGTTTGCAGAGAGTTGAAACCCAACGCCTTCTAAAGTCTGCAAAAGATAAGTCATTTGGAGTGGCTCCTCCAGTCTAGATAACTTCAACTTTAATTCATTCGCTTGATTTGTATTTCCTCACTCAATTAGCAAAGTTTCCCATAACTTCCGCCCTGTTGGCTGCCAGCAAACATTTACCCCCAGCAAACAGCCGGCCAGGCCAATTCATCTTCATAAACTGCCACCTTCAGCCCCCGGCTCATGTGGAATTTTTCAAACGGAAAAAGAGGGAAACTTGAGCATCAGGCACACACAAATCATCGATAAAACACGATGTCTAAATGCATGTTGGCAGGGATTTCCAGGGCTGTGGCAACAAACAAGGCAAACAAGGCTGCTTGGCCTGCCTCTGATGGGTTTGTTTTTCGGCTTGTGTGTACTCACCCACATCACGTAGAAAATCGACGCTGACATCAGATAAATGCAGTTGAAAGAAGTCGAGGAAATTCTGAAAGCCCTGTTGCACATGCGTCATGTCAACGTGCAGCGAAGAAGGTATTAAAACGGCCATTCGTTGACTAAGATGTCGCTCTTGCTGCTGTCGTCTTTGGCGTTGCTGTCCCAGTTGCTGTTGCTGATGCTGATGTTGCTGTTGCTGCTGATGTTGCTGTTGCTGTTGCTGTTGCGTTTGCTGTTGCTGCTGATGTTGCTGTTGCTGTTGCTGCTGATGTTGCTGTTGCTGCTGAAGTTGCTGTTGCTGCTGATGTGGCTGTTGCTGTTGCTTTTGCTGTTGTTGTTGCTGTTGCTGTCCCAGTTGCTGTTGCTGTTGCTGCTGCTGCCTCTGACGTTTCTGACGAGCAGCCTCACGCGCATTACGTGGACTCTGCGTTTGTGTTGCTGTCGGCCAAATTGAATTGCTGTTGCCGCTGAGTGTTGCTGCCGCTGCTGTCGCTGGGGAGGTCCGCGTGGCCGCAACCGATTTTGTAGATGGCGTTGTAGCGAAATCTGTCGCTGTCTTGGCCGCTGACAGGACAAGGACACCCGCCGCTTCTGGCCGGAAGGAGGAGGAGGAGGGAGAGGATGGGGTGGGACTCGAGCCGAAAGCTAAGAAGGCTGCGCGGGGGGAATTGAGAAAGAAGAAGGCTGTCAACAGCAGAAATAATTTAGCAATTTGACAGATTGTTAACTTCATTTATGTTGCGTATTTTGGTAAGGTTTTTTTTTGACGTTGCTGCTGTTGTTACTGCGCTTGTTGTCGGTTGTTGCGGTTCAGTGGAAGCTATTGCTGTTGCCCGTGACCGTTGCCGTAGCCCACTGCAGAGCGGAGTGGGCCCCTTTTAATTCCGCGTCCTGGCCCGATTACATTTTGCGAGCCGTGCTGACGCCGATGGTGAAGCTGCATTTGTTGTTTCTTCCCCAACTATTCCTGTTAATGAACTTTGACGAGGCTTTGTTCGAACTCGCCATAAATGCGCTTGTGTTGCTGGTAGATCGGAGTCGTTGCCTGCGAAAAGAGGGACAGAAATAAATGCATTTCTCATTAAAAGTTTTCAGTCGAAAGACTTAAGTTATATTTTAAATGGGTGTTGTTAAGGTGTTGAGTGTTCATACAAAAAAGTCACTTTGACCAGATGAAAAACAAGAGAAAACGCTGTTGTCGACTCCCTCGACTAAATAACGCCACCTATCGTTCATTTATATCGGCTCTTTACGAAATTTCACCAACACCGCACATAACGTGAAGCCTAGGTGGCGCTAGTGAAATTTCGTAAGCAAACGATTTTCTTTATAAACATATCATCATTCCTCTCGCACTCTATTTCTAATTAAGTTTGGCTATAACTTTTAATGAATGGTCCGATTTAAATAAATTTTGGCATGTAGAATCAACCTATGTGGAGTTAGAGTGGGCGTGGCACCATGCTAAAACAAACTTGCTCTGCACAGGAAGCCCAAGAATCTGCATGCATATTCCTAACATTCTAGCTCATATACTATGTTTATGCTAAGGGTTTCACGATTTCTTGAAAGCGTGAAATAAAACTTGTCCCAGTTTATGCGACGCGGCCGAAATCATGCATTTTATCAATCTCAGCTGGCAGAGATGCCGGACCGGTAGAAAAAGGTACGAGCGATAATTAAAAAAAATTTTTTCGATTCGCATGAAATAATCTTGCTAATATTAAAGATAACGTGTGTGCAAGCCAGTATAACATTTTTTCTACCATCAAAATAAAAGATAAAAACTAGTTTCCATTGGCACTGAATTAAAAAATAATTTGTTAAATGTAAGGTGTATTTATGTATTTATATCGATCTGGCAACTCCGATAGTTATACAGAGTTACCAGAGTTTAATTGTGACCATTTCACGCTTTCAGGTTGAATTCATAGTCAACTTTCGTGTGTTGCCGAATTCACGAAATGGCGTTTATGCACACACGAATCGGCTGAAATCGCGAAATGAAAGCGTGAATTCGGCATCGCATAAACACAGTAATAGTTTCCTAGATCTCTGCGTTTATACGGACAGGAGGATAAGGGATGACGAAATCAAAGATTCTATTCTTCCAATTGGGATTCCATGTACTGCTGTGGGCAAAGAGTAATCTAAATTTCGTTTTAAATATTGCTGATTTTTGGGAATAGCCAGTAGACACAAGGAGCCATATCGAACTTTTGGCGAAATAGTCACAAAGAACGAGTGAGCCGGTGCATTATCGGGATGCAACAGCCAAGAGTTGTTGTTGCCCACAATTGTGTTTTTTTTTTGCTTCACGTAAACGACTCATAACGCTCTAAAAATATTTCTTATAAACGCTTTGACCACAACACGAAAATCAAAACAAGGAAGAACGCTATAGTCGAGTACCTCGACTATCAGATACCCGTTACTCAGCTAAAGGGACCAAAGGGAAATGGAGATATGCAAGTAGCAAAGCGAGATTGAAATGCGCCACCTATCGGCAGAAGACAGATTTAAGCGTTATGGGCGTAAGACTGGGCTTGGCAAATTTTTTTTGGATCAATCGATAGGTATTTCCGAGACCAATTCATTTCAGTTTAAGTTTTTTATCTAGCATGAAAATTGTGGGCGTCACAGGCTTAGGCGGCTTGTGGGCGTTAGAGTGGGCGTGGCATGTTCAAGTAACAATCTTGCGCTGCGTACAACGCTACTGATCCTAAATCTGAGATCCCAATTCTCTATCTTTGAAAGTTTCCGAGATATCCACGTTCATATTTACGATTTTTTGAAGTTTGCGGGCTGTTTTTGGGAGTTAAAGTGGGCGATAGGTATTGATGAGAACAATACATTTCTGTCACAATATTTATTCAAGCATCAAAACTGTAGAAGCCACAGCTTTGGGCGGCTTGTGGGCGTTAGAATGGGCGTGGCACGCTGCTGAAACAAACTTGCGCTGCGCAGGAATCTCAGGAACTTGCATGCCTATTCCAACTATTGTACCTTTTGTAGTTTCCGAGATCTCAGCATTCATACGGACAGGCGGACATGGCTAGATCAACTCGGCTAGTGATCCAGATCAAGAATATATATACTTTATGGGGTCGAAAACGCTCTACGAGTAAAGGGTATAACAACTGCACCTTAGCTTTTGACCACAGTAAAATGAAAACCGTAAGGCTTAAATACATCTATTTTTAAAAATTTTGCATTTTAATTTGAGAATGCAATCCTGAAGCGAGAACGATTTATGTTTGATATTGAGAAGAGTCTAATGTCAATAAAGGACTGACTTATGCTCGAATCTGAAAACTATTAATTTCAAAATCGCGACCGATTTGCTGTTGAAACCAAGGAGACTTCATATCTAAATCGAAAACTCACATTCTTAAAAGCCATTCGCAAGCCGAGAAGACCTCGATGTCGAAAGCGAAATGTAAAGAATATATCTTGATATTAGTTTTCCTCTCTTTCCTATGGAAGGCGACAAAAAGGCTTGTACTTTCGATTAAATAAATATACTTTCTAAAATGTTTTTATTCTTCCCGCTTCTGCAAAATATCTAAGTTCTCGCGTACAAAGGCATATTCCATATGACAGTCGTGGCACTCGAGTAAAGCATTCTCTGTAACGCATTCTTTTTTGGTGTACGTGTACTGCCTTCCATTTAAAGTACTTGCAGGAGAACTGAAAAATACGACGTCTGCATAAGTTAGGTCGTAATTTTTGAGCTCCCGCTATAAAATTCAAAAGGGCATAAAATTGATTTGACAAAATAAATATTTGTAGCTTTGTATATTGTATTCCTTGCTGTGCCGCCCAACTCTTTCTGAATTTGCTTATTTTTATTTTTATTCTCCCTTCCTTTATTTGAAAAGCCACCCGCACTCACGTTAACACACCTTCTACTTTAGAGAATTTTAAAGCGCAAAGTTCAGGCTGAGCAGCGTTTATTCCTGGAGCACCTTTTCTTCCGGCTCAGCCCCCTGCAATTTAATGCTTGATTACCTGCGTAACGCATTCGTGCGGCAATATTTCAATTCATCAACATGAGAGTCTGAACTTTCACTTATATATTAAAAAAAGGTGCCTCGGCTATTAGACACTCTCAGCTAACCCAGTAAATATATAATTATTGTCGGCCGATGGAGATAAAGGACGGGCAAAACAAGGTGACACCGAATTTTAGGCTTCTGTAAATGTGAACAAAATTCGGCGTGGCCGCCTTTTAGTATTGATGGCTGGCAAATCTACTTTACAAAATATACAAGTATTGGACGGTCGGTTTTACTTGTTACATACTTTTCAACGAATACAATATACCCTTCTACTATGTAAGCCCGTATTCCTTTCACGGGAAAAAAAAGTGCTTCGTTGGGGCCTACACCTTCTGGCAGGTTTAGAGCATTGTCATCCGATTGTCCGGAAATGATTGATGCTCCATTTTTGTGTCATTGGGCCAAAATAAATAATCTCTGGGCGATTTTTATAAATGATGGATTATGTTTGGTGTGTTTGGACTATGTGGGTATGGCAGGATTAAAATATTGCCCCTCTTAATTAGTGACTTTAGGACAAATTGAACTCTATATTTATAATACTAGCATTAGACTTGGCGGATATTAAAGGAATATAAATCGTTTAGGGATTTTATATATATGAGATTGAACCTGGGCATTTCCACAAGTCGCGAACGAACGTTCGTACGCACTTAGTGCAAATAAGAAAAAAAAAAAAACGTTTTCTGATTTTTTTTTGCTGTACGATAGCAGTTTGTTAGATCTTTGCGTAATGTAAATGATAGGGTTTATTGAGCTATCATTTTCATAATATTGGCTAAAAAAATGCGGTCGCGAACGAACGCAAAATGGAAGTCGACTTCGGCTTAATCTAGTAAAATGCAAAAATCTGCGAGTTGGGCCGGAATATTCAAAAGCAATTTCTTTACTTTCAAAATGGATTCATGTAGCTTTCTATTGAGTCTGTTCCCAAGGAAATATCTCCATTTGTTTTTCTATTGAATTAGGTACCGGTCGCGAACGAACGATTTTTCCATGTAGTTTTATTAACAGTTAATTAAACATTTCTTATCTTAAGTTAAGTGTGTAAATTTTAGAGTGGGCCTGGCAACCTGCTGAAGCAAGGTTCAAACTGTCAGTATATTTAACTTTTGTTTCGACGAAATACTTATGCCGACTAGTGTAATTATTCTAAACGAAACAAAATACCATTTACACTTTTGTGCTGAGTAGGAATCTCTAGAATCTGCATGCTAAGACCCAATTTTGTAGCTTTAAGAGTTTCCGAGATCTTAGCGTTCATACCGACAGACGGACGGACTGACGATCTGATAAAAAATATATACAGTTTTTATGGTCGGAAATGTTTCCTTCTACCTATTACCAACTATCGGACGAATCTAGTATAACTGTGCGAACAAATTAGTTTAAATATTACTGTTAGGTAGATTTATATTTGTACATTTAAGCACCGTAGCCAAACGCTTTAGTAATAATTTGACCGAAGCGAATCATTGTATTTCTTTTTCGAATAGGTAAATAAATATTATTAATTCGAACACCGGTAACAGGGATGATGATGCTCTACGCTGTGCTCCTCTGTGGTATGTTAAAACAGGTTTTGATTTGGTTAGAAGACCTAACATTACTATATCTCCAATTATCCTGCTTAAAAGGGCTCTTAATGTGGACACTCCTGTTCTCGGTCATGGGCTTGCTTGCGAGCAGTGAACTCAGGCTAAAATTCCGCATCTTTCATGAAGTTGCTGTTCAGGCTCACAACAAAACCGTAGACCCGATCGCAGTTGCCCAGTTAGCTGAGGCAAAGAAGAGGATATTGGAGGCCGAGCGAAGTCCTCACATGATGCCGATGAACCGCCTCCAAACGAATCTTTTGGAGATCTGCGATATGATCAAGAGAAATCCCTGTGAGATCTGGCAACCAGACAGTTGCCCCTCCTGGAGGCCGGGTTGTTACAACCGCCCTCCTGCAAAAATATGCCCTCCCTGGATACCGAGCTGC